GCTGAAGAAGATCCAGAAGGTTCTGAGTTCAGATTACCCAGAATGCTCAGAGAGTCAGAGGAAAGATGAGGAGATGTTGGATGGTGAGGAGGAAGAGCAGAGGTGCAGCAGAAAGGCATTTCTGAAGATCACACTGCACTTCTTGAGGAGAATGAAGCAGGAGGAGCTGGCTGAGCGTCTGCAGAGCAGTAAGAGGATTTCTCTAAAGATTTCACCCGCTGGATAAACTGGACATTTACTGATGTCTCAAGGGATGGAAGAATATATATTCAAATACTAATTATTTAGTGGTAAGAAATATTGAAATTTTGACATTATGATATATTCATTGATCTAATGTGTTATGTTCATTCAGGAAATCATTCTAGTGTTTGTCAGCATAAACTTAAATCTAAGCTGAAGAAGAAGTTCCAGTGTGTGTTTGAGGGGATTGCTAAAGCAGGAAACCCAACCCTTCTGAACCAGATCTACACAGAGCTCTACATCACAGAGGGAGGGACTGCAGAGGTCAATGATGAACATGAGGTCAGACAGATTGAAACAGCATCCAGGAAACCAGCCAGACCAGAAACAACAATCAGACAAGAAGACATCTTTAAACCCTCACCTGGAAGAGATCGACCAATCAGAACAGTGATGACAAAGGGAGTGGCTGGCATTGGGAAAACAGTCTTGACACAGAAGTTCACTCTGGACTGGGCTGAAGATGAAGCCAACCAGGACATACAGTTCATATTTCCATTCACTTTCAGAGAGCTGAATGTACTGAAAGAGAAAAAGTACAGCTTGGTGGAACTTGTTCATCACTTCTTTCCTGAAACCAAAGAAGCAGGAATCTGCAGGTTTGAAGAGTTCCAGGTTGTGTTCATCTTTGACGGTCTGGATGAGTGTCGACTTCCTCTGGACTTCCACAACAATGAGGTCCTGACTGATGTTACAGAGTCCACCTCAGTGGATGTGCTGCTGACAAACCTCATCAGGGGGAACCTGCTTCCCTCTGCTCGCCTCTGGATAACCACACGACCTGCAGCAGCCAATCAGATCCCTCCTCGTTGTGTTGACATGGTGACAGAGATCAGAGGGTTCACCGACCCACAGAAGGAGGAGTACTTCAGGAAGAGGTTCAGAGATGAGGAGCAGGCCAGCAGAATCATCTCCCACATCAAGACATCACGAAGCCTCCACATCATGTGCCACATCCCAGTCTTCTGCTGGATCACTGCTACAGTTCTGGAGGAGGTGTTGAAGACCAGAGAGGGAGGAGAGCTGCCCAAGACCCTGACTGAGATGTACATCCACTTCCTGGTGGTTCAGTCCAAACTGAAGAACATCAAGTATGATGGAGGATCTGAGACGGATCCACCCTGGAGTCCAGACAGCAGGAAGATGATTGAGTCTCTGGGAAAACTGGCTTTTGAGCAGCTGCAGAAAGGCAACCTGATCTTCTATGAATCAGACCTGACAGAGTGTGGCATCGATATCAGAGCAGCCTCAGTGTACTCAGGAGTGTTCACACAGATCTTTAAAGAGGAGAGAGGACTGTACCAGGACAAGGTGTTCTGCTTCGTCCATCTGAGCGTTCAGGAGTTTCTGGCTGCTCTTCATGTCCATCTGACCTTCATCAACTCTGGTGTCAATCTGCTGTCAGAACAATCAACCTCCTGGTGGTCTGAATTATTCGGAGGCAAATCAACACAGTTCTACCAGAGTGCTGTGGACAAGGCCTTACAGAGTCCAAATGGACACCTGGACTTGTTCCTCCGCTTCCTCCTGGGACTTTCACTGCAGACCAATCACATTCTCCTACGAGGCCTGCTGAAACATACAGGCAGTGGCTCAAAAACGAATCAGGTAACAGTCGAGTACATCAAGAAGAAGTTCCAAAAGAGTCCCTCTGCAGAGAAAAGCATCAATCTGTTCCACTGTCTGAATGAACTGAATGATCGTTCTCTCGTGGACGAGATTCAACAGTGCCTGAAATCAGGAAAACTCTCCACAGATCAACTCTCTCCTGCTCAGTGGTCAGCTCTGGTCTTCATCTTACTGTCATCAGAAACAAATCTGGACGTGTTTGACCTGAAGAAATACTCTGCTTCAGAGGAGGCTTTCTGAGGCTGCTGCCAGTGGTCAAAGCCTCCAAGAAAGCTTTGTGAGTGGGATTTATTATTCTTCAATAAATACTCTATCTTTAAAAAGGAGAAGACAAGAATACCTTTCACTTGCTTTCTTTCTGTGTAACCTCTCAGAGAGAAACTGAATCATGTGTGGTGTTCTAATTCAGATTCGCATATTGTTCAGCAATACAAACTGTGAACTTTGGCAGAAATGGAGAACCTCATTTAAGTTTAGATATGTCATTTTTATTACTTTTTGTCTGTTTATTCCTGATTCAGTCTATTGTGACTAGTTGATTAAATCTCCAACATGTTTAAAGTAAGCCATAATTTCAACATGGGCAGGGAAGACATTCAACCTTTTTCATTGCTGGAGCACGAAATATCTATGCATTGTCACATCCTTTTGCATCTGGTACCAACACAAATGGCGTCCTTTAACATCATAGTTCAGGCCCTTTAGCATTATTGTTCAAGGCTAAAAGTAGGCCTAGTATAAATAACAGAAGATTCCAAGGTGTTTGGGGTGGAATTGTGAGTTAGAAACTGGTCTTCCACCCAGGAGCCTGGTGTTCGTTTCCCATGTGAAACAAAAAGTCAACACTGAATATTTTTAGATTAGTTATTTTACGGAGTTAATGTTACTTAGGCAACTTAACTCAAATAAGTAATGAAGTTATTTTAACTCAAACCACGATCTTTTCCTAAACCTAATTAAGTACTTTTGTTGCTTAAATGTAACCAAGTAGTTTTGATGCCTAAACCTAACCAAATTGCATTTACATTAACCAAATACCATTTCACAACGTTAACCACTTGTTTTATTTTGAAAGTCTAACCGGACTTTGTATATTTATTACTGCTATCTTGACTGTCTGTTGGACATTTATTCTTGCTAACTTGACCTTGGAGCCCTACACATGCAAAACAAAGGGGTACCCAGGGCGTTAGAAAACAGTGCCAAGGGGTCTTGACCAAGTGACAAGTTGGGAGTGAAAATGTACTGTGCGATTATTTATTTATAAATATACACACACACACACACACACACACACACCAGATCCTGTGACCCCCAAACTGGGAGAGTGGCTACAGCAAATTCCAGTTAAAACATCAGAGGTCTCTGTCCAGAAAAGTGCAGTCCTAGGAACAGCTAAGATACTGTGCAGAACCCTCAAAGTCCCAAGGGAGGACCCGAGCTTACAGTGAGAAGGGGATATATATATTTATATTATTTAAACAGGAAAAGTCCCATTTTCAACCACGAGTTGAAAAACAATAAATTACATAAATTAAAATACAATACAAATTTACACAAAGTTTACAAGATATTTTACATTGTGGTGTTTCCTGAGACTGAGACTCAACATTTTAAAGGAAATGTTATTTGTCTTTTTGTCCATTGCTTCCTCTTCAGACTGAGTGGCTGTAACCTCTCAGGGATAAGCTGTAATGCTCTGTCCTCAGTTCTCAGCTCCCAGTCCTCTAGTCTGAGAGAGCTAGACCTGAGTAATAACAACCTGCAGGATTCAGGAGTGAAGCTGCTGTCTGCTGGACTGGAGAGTCCACATTTTAAACTGGAAATCCTCAGGTCAGGATTCATTAACCCATTTAACTGATGACCCTGAATACTCTGCTTTACATTAGTGGATAAACCGCTAACATGTTGAGGTTTGTTTGCTAATATGATTTGTTAATTTACTTTTGACTTTCAATGAGGATTTTTCATGATTTTGCATTTGTTTTGCTTTTGTTGTTGAAATATTACATATGCACGAATTTATTCTAACATTGTATCTGGACTAAAAATGTCCAACATCTGACAACAAACAAAAACGTACAACAAAGTTTTCCCACTGGGGGATTCTTTTAGTACTGGTTGCTCTGACTAGTTTCCTCTGTCTAGTGGCTACTTTGATATACCACTGTGAAGTCACATTATTTTGTGTGAGTGCACAATCTACGTGTCTTTTTCGCCGTTTTTGACTAGATCACTCTACATAAACAGATTTTTAAGGTCCGTATTATGCAAAATACACTTTGATGTCTTTACCCACATAGACAAAATCTCTCCCTTTTTCTCCTGCTCATTCTTTCAGTAAATGTGTATGCAAACACAGTTTGACCATGTCCATTCATGACATCATGGAGGGATCTGTGTAGGGACTGCTACGGCACAGGACCTCCTCCAGCCCTTCAGCACTGTAGATGACCCCTCCCACTGAACGCATATTGAATACACCTCAGCCATGACCCCGCCATAACACCAATCGGTCATTCCATAGAGCTGCTAGAGCTGGAAGTTCAGTCAGTCTCGTAGAAAGTGCTTTTTTTTCGATAATGAAAGAAAGTTAAATATTTTCTGGTTTTCCCTCTATGCTGTCCTACTGCTCTTTTTTTTTTGGAAGATTTAATTGTAAGACGTTGTGTGAGATCAAGTAATTTATCTTTTATTTATTTATTTTCCTTATCTTGTATAGAGAGAAGTGGCATGACCGAGAGACAGTAGCGACATGAATGTAGAACATCTTCTTGAAAATGCTGTAGGCACAGGGTCAATACCATAGACTGTATATAAAAATTGACATATAATGTCCATGACGTCATCCATTGGTTTCTGAAGAGCAGTTTTGAAGCCCAAATTGGGCGGAGCCGGTCACCGCCATCTTGGCAGCGCGTCACTGCACATCACTCCCGGATAACCAAAAATGGGCAAAGAGGCGGGTCATGGGTGAAGCTGAGGTAACTGGTTGCTGAAACCACTCCCACCTAGCTCGATGTGACCAAGTTAGCTCAGGCTAAGGAGCTAAATCTATATGCTACTCTGCGTTGTCAAAAGTAGCTTCTAAACCCCTGGGGGCTGTATGGCTTATTGCCGTGTGTTACCAGTCTATGGTCGTTACCAGCTTACACTCGAGGTAAGTTACCTGAACTACACAACAACACTTAAAATAACTATTTATCTGTTATTGACATTATAGTTCATAAGGTTTAAAATGCTTCAACAATCTTTAATATGTAGATGTAGTAATGCTGATGGAAGCTATTTAACTTGTAAAACATTTATTAACTGTTATTGCAGCTTTAGTTAAAGTATTAACAAATCACACAAGGTAATTCCCCACATCGCTATGTTGAGTTACGTTGCTGCTGTCGGCAGTGCTGTGCGAGATCATTGTCTGGAATAACACTGTTGTCACAACACATTTGTCACAAGATGTTTTTTTCTTTCAGTGATCGGTTCTTGTTGAGGTCGCGATGCCTCCACGTCTGCTATATACAGCTTAAACTGTAAGTAACGTTACTTGTCTTGACTACTGGACATTTGGCAGCTGATATTAAATATATAGTCTGTCTTAAAAGGGACAATACAAAAACATTTCTCCCACGAATGTGACATAATAGTGCTGTCAGCATTAAAACATTGAGGGATCTTTTAGAGGAGCATCTCAAAACATTTTAATACATAGAAAAGTTCATTGTGAGCACCAGAACCAGACTGACAGATTAAAGGCTTCAGAAACCTTTGCAGGTGTTTTGAGTTAATTAGCTGATTAGATAGCTCTTCTCCAATTGACATTTCTGTATAATTTACAATACAGAAATGTATTTATTCTAAAATTCGAATGCATTTTGAGATACTGGAGTTTTTATTTCCAAGAGCTGTACACCGTACTCATCAACATGAAAACAAAAAAAGGGGCTTGAAATACTTCACTTTGTATAATTAATTTTTAAAGACTAATCGGTATAGTTTGTTTATATTTTTCATTACCTGAAGCATTTATTACACTTTTTCCTCCCAGTGTCACACTGTTCATCAGATGTCCCACCTGGTGCCCAGAGAGCTACAGAGACCTGGGAAGCCTCCTCATTGTGCTGGAAGTTTGTATCTGCATAGACTGATGTACTTTTAGTTTTAAATATTGTCCATATTTGTGTTATATTTCCATATAAAAAATATGGTTTATGGTTCACATTGTAATAAATTCTAAATATATTTGTACTCCCTGTCTTTACTACTTACGGAAATGTTAGATTTTACATATTGTCAATACAAAGGACAAGCTAATTGTACAACATACTGTAGATAAAACACCAAAGCTAAACTCTTACCAAAGAACATCAGTCTAGTATTAAATTGAAAAGTGAAAATACTCCCAAATGTTTCACTTGAAATGTTGATGAGTAATTATGCAGTGTATTTCTGTGTGTGCAGAAGTTATTTCACTTTCTACCTAATACTTTACGTTAAATAAGGAGTCTTACACTCACTAACAGAGCCTGAAGTTTTTGAAGAGTGCCTTGTTTGCTGGTCTGATGTAAGTCTAGTTTAAATACATAATTATGTGTGTACCACTGATTTTTCACTAAATCTCAAGGATGTAATAATTTGATGACTAAACATTCTTAAATATGAACTTTGAATCAATTATCAGTTGTCAGAGTATCTGACTAGTATCTAACTGAACAGTAACTCTGTCACAGTATGTAGCTAAATCTAACATTGCCCTTTTGGAAAGTTTAACATTAGCATAACGTCAGCAAACTGAGAGCTGAGCAATTAACTTACTTTCCACACTTACTGGTAGAGTGGCTAATTAACAGAGTCCAAAAAAAACCAATGTGATCCAAACATAAGAAGATAAAATAGATTAAAGCTGCAAGCAGCGTTGGGCGGGCCCTTGCACTTGTAGCGCGTCCGGGTGTGAGCCGGCCGAGTTGCACATTCTGGAGCTCTGCCGGTGCGGCTGTGAATTTGCTACGCGGTTCAGACGCCGCATGAAGGTGCTATATGTCACTTCCTGTGTCCCCTATGTGGAGCTACATAGCACTTGCCGCTATGAATATAAATCGGTATTGCCGTGCAGATGTCTTCGGGGTGGGACAGTTATCAAGCACGTAAAGTTTGGTTCAGATGTCAGCATATACACTGTTAGTAAGTTACAACAACTTCCTGTGTCATGGCGAAGAGTTGATAATTTGACGCCACGCCACAGACACGCCCATTGACAAAAACTCGCAAATAGCACAACTTTTCATCTTCAATGCCTTTAGAAGGCACAGCACAAATTTGACGTCGATCCGACTAAATCCCTAGGAGGAGTTCGTTAAAGTACGAAGTGTGTAAATCATCCAAAAATGCAGTTTTCCTGTTGACTTTAGGCTATGGGTTCTTGAGGCTTTTTTGTGCGTCTTGATATGATACATGTCCCCAGAAAATTTCGTACATGTAGGTTTAACGTGAACGAGGGGATCATCTTTTCCAATTTTCTAGGTGGCGCTAGCGAGTCATTTTGCCACGCCCATGCGCGAAACTTATAGAATACGAAATTTTTCACCAGTTCTGACATGTTTGCAAATTTTGGTGAGTTTTCGAGTATGTTTAGGCCATGTCATTTGAGCCTACTTTGCAGAAAAAAAAAAAAAATACATATATATATATATATATATATATATATATATATATATATATAATCTTAGCAAATTCAATAGGGACCTCACACGGTCGTGCTCGGGCCCTAAATATATATATATATATATATATATAATCTTAGCAAATTCAATAGGGACCTCACACGGTCGTGCTCGGGCCCTAAATATATCCAAGAAGGGAACATAATCCAGAAAGCAGGGAAACACGACGAGCAAGGCAGACAACATGAGACAGAGCGTATACACACGAAAATGACTTGACAAGGACTGAAGAGAAACAGCAAACATATATACACCAGGGACTAATGAGCAGGGTGGGAGCAACCAAGGTGACCGACATGAGACTAACGAGACGCAGGCAGAGAGAGAGCAGGGGAGAACAGAGAGAGGCAGGCAGAGACAGCAAAGGGGAACAAAAAGGCAGGCAGAGTAATAACTGGGGGAACAGATGGAAGACTTGACGGGCAGACATGGGGCAAAATAACCAACACAGAACACATCTAACAAAATACCAGACAAGACTCTAACTCAGACAATAACAGAAACCAATGTATACAGACAAACACCGACCAACTAAAACACAGGGATCATAACAGACAAAACCTAAACGAGAACACAGAACTAGAACACAGAGTACCGAGCAGACTAAACCAAAATGATGCAGAGAAAGAACTAGAAGCAAATACTACGACATGAGCTAAGGCACAGGACTAGGAACAAAGACATGGAACAAAAACCCAGACTCCCCAAGAAGACACACAGACAGGACTGAAACCCAGACACAGAGGAACCAAAATCAAAACACAGAGAAGGCATGGCCAAAATAATATAATCCAGACCAGCTCAGGACAGGATCGTGACACTCTCCTCTTGCTGACTTCTCTTTGAGTCTTTAAACAGTGTGCTGTTAGCATACACTCCCATTAACTTAGAATCTTTAACACAGCTTTGGGACACATGTATCTGGCTATGTAACACAACGACCCAAACTTGATAGGTATGCTGACAGCAATACCTGTTAATTATTATTTCTCACCAACTGGAGCACAGACTTCTTGGAGGGTCTCTCTCTACAATAAACAGCACAGCCTTATTCATCCAGTATTTGCATGAAGAAAACTCCAAAAGCCTCAAACAGGCAGAGCTGCAGATCTCTGTGACTGTATGAGCTGAGTGAGGTTAACAGACGGCAAGCAGACTTCTAGCAGTGACAGTGGCAGCAGCCACCTGTCAAACAAAGCAGCCACGCCCTAATAGATTAGAATAGAATAGATACATAATAATGCAGAACTTGAAGGCTAAATGTAATTTTTAACAGGTGAGTTGTAAATTTTTACCCCCCTCACAATTGTCATGAAGGGGGAATTGAGCTATACACTAGAGCTGACCGATATGGGTTTATGGGGGGTTATGCCGATATTATAGAGAAAAAGAGCGGATTTATGAGCCAATATTTAGATTTTGAGAATTATTTGGATAGTAGACCCCTTTACCGTATAAACTACACTTAGAAACAGGCTAATATTGAAAGCTGTTCAGTATGTGGGCTATAATACCTTTTCCTAAAGACCTACAGTCAACAACTTATCAATAAATGTTTGCATATTTGCAACTTTTTCAGCTATCTGTTAACAGAGAGAGAAAATACGCATGTGTATTTCACTTATAATCTGCGATAATTTTGCTACATTTCAATTTTGTGTGTGAACATAGTTTAGCTCACACACAAAGGACAGGACAATCTTTTAGCTTGGCCAGCTATTGTTTTGATTGGCATCCACCAATTTAATCACCTGAGCCCGGCAACACTCATCATAAGCTACAGTCTAATTTCATGTCTCTGTGTGATCAAGTTAATAGCTAAGGCTGTACCCGAGTGTAACGTTACGTATTGAACCTACGTATTTATTGGATAATAAATTTATGAATATGGAAATATTAATTCATAAACTCTCGTTTTGGGGCACCACCAAAAATTTGCTGTCCACCCAAGGCTTTATAATAATAATAATAATCTTTATTTGTAGAGCACTTTTCAAAAACAAGTTACAAAGTGCTTTAAGTGTAAAGACAATAATACCCAAAAGACAATAATGCAAAAACAATACAAGATAAAAGCATGAAAACACTGAAAAGACTAAAATACACGTTTAAGATAAATATAAAACTAGTAAAATAGAATAAAATAAAAGGGATAAAATAAAGTCAAATAAAATCGGGAAAGGCTCTCCTATAAAATAATGTTTTAAGAAGGGACTTAAAAGAGTTTACTGACTCAGCTGACCTGATTTCCTCGGGCAGGCTGTTCCAGAGCCTCTGGGCCCTGACAGCAAACGCTCTGTCCCCTTTAGTTTTCAGTCGAGACTCTGAAACAGACAACAGACCTCTGCCCGAGGATCTCAAGGTACGTGCTGGTGCGTATAGGACTAAAAGGTCAGAAATATAACAAGGCAAGAGGCTATGAAGAGCTTTAAAAGTGATCAATAGAATTTTAAAGTCAATTCTAAAACATACTGGGAGCCAGTGTAATGAAGCTAAAATAGGAGTAATGTGGTCATATTTCTTTCTTCTGGAGTTCTGGACAGTCTGTGTTAAACAGGTGAAAAGGCTGTTGCAATAATCCAGGCGTGATGAGATGAAGGCGTGTAAAATGGTCTCGGTGTCCTTAAAAGTTAACATAGATCGGATTTTTGCTATATTTCTAAGTTGATAAAAACATGATTGAACAAGCATTGTGGTGTGCTGCTCGAAATTTAAATTACTATCAAACCAAACACCAAGGTTCTTTGCCACAGGCTTAATGTGATTTACTAGGGAACCAGCAGATGGCAGTATTTGATTTGCCACCTGCTGGGACCCAATGACCAGGATTTCTGTTTTGTCTGAGTTCAGCTGGAGGAAATTATTTAACATCCATTTTTTAACTTCACAAAGGCAGTTGTTAAGTGAACTCAGCATTCCAGGTTCTGTGGATCTGACGGGCAAGTATATTTGTGTGTCATCAGCATAAATATGAAAAGAAATGCCATGTTTATGGATAATATGTCCAAGGGGAAGCAGATACAAGGAAAACAAAATGGGTCCTAAGACCGACCCCTGAGGCACACCATATTTAACTGGACAGAACGAGGAGACATAGTTGTTTACAGACACGCAAAACTTCCTATTTGACAGGTAGGATGAAAACCATTCTAGGGCAGCACCAGAGATCCCCACCCAGTGCCTCAGTCTGTCTAACATGATGTTGTGATCAATGGTGTCAAAAGCAGCAAGGTCCAGGAGTACCAGGACTGAGCACATGCCTTCATCAGCAGACATTAAAAGGTCATTGGTGACTTTAAGCAGGGCAGTCTCAGTGCTGTGGTACTTCCTAAAACCAGACTGAAACTTTTCAAATATTTTGTTATTTTCCAGTACAGTGAGCAGCTGTTTGGACACAATTCTTTCTA